ACGATACATTTACCAGGTTAGATAGATACTCGATATGAATCCGGGCGTGCACCGATGAATTATTCCAACAATTTTAGTTATTAATCGAAACATCGCATCGCGATAGCATCGAAACGCTAATTAAATTTGGATAAAAATGCGCGAAATCGAATTCGAATTTTAAAGGAACTTTCGTGAAAATGCAGCCTTTATATTATAACAGAAGCTTCGGTAAATGTTTTTATTTCATTCCGTCATTTCCGCTCGGAATAACGCCATAAATTATCATCACCGAACAATTAAAAACCAAAATAATAGCGTCGACGTTTAAACGTGGCCGAATAAATTAACAGGACGAAGAATAATCGGATACGTTTAAATTTTTATGACGGAAAACCGGCCCCCTTTTCGACAGCGATTCATCGGCATTCAAAACGTCATAAACAACGGGCTCTTCGGGAAAAAAATTTAATTTATTAGACGTCGATGGGGCCTTTTAACCGAAAGTTAATTATTCAGTACCTTAATCGTTCGAGATCAACTTTATAACAAGATCAATCCGTTTGTACAGAAGAATTTCCAGTAAATATCCAGAATTTTAATATTCGAAAATAGGAATAATTTTTTACTCGTGGATACAAAATGTGGTAAAAGATATTTGGTGATTTCAGTAAACTTCGGATTGTTAGCAAATTTAATAATATTGATTTTCTTGGTTTAATTGCATAAAAATATTACCCGAAAATTCTGTTCTGTTTCCAAGTAAAACACACGATGAAATTGCAGTAAATCCTGTTTAAATTTCGTTTTAAATGTAATCTCACGTAAGTTTTTAATTTATCATTTTCTCATTTAATTGTAAAAATTTTCATTTTCCGTCGACAATTCCTTAAATTTGAAATATTTTACAAAAAAATAATTATTCTACATTCATACCAAATTTGAATGTGACATTGAATCAAGAACTGTTATTGAAATTCCCATCTTCGTGTATTCGATTAGACGATTACACATCTGTATAGGTGATCAAATTAGAACAGTACGTGTACCGATAGGTCGGAGGAAATCTGTTTGCGTTTGAAATTTGTAGCTTAAAGCTCTTAGTTCAATGGAATTCGTTTGGTAAAGCTATTCGCGAGGCTACGGCGGGTTACGGGCATGGCGTTACTTAGAATGAATAAAGCATCTACGATGAAAGCTCTGCGAAATGCAGCAAATTAGCGATGATTAGCTTTGTAGATTAAACTTGCGTTTGAATCATATTTTTTGTAATTAAAGGAATATTTTTAATATAACACAAAAGCTTAAAGTAATCCAGTTAGTTATAAGAACGAGGCGACGTCTTCTCTTGACATTTTAATAATTTAGTATAATTAACCTCGTCGCTTAATAAGAGAAACATCTACGGTATGTGTTTGAACGGGGAGAAAGAAGAGAGCTTTCGCGAGCTTTTGAACGGGAAATCTCTTAAAGGTTTCGCTTTTCCAAAGACATTTCATTTATAATTAACTAGATTGAAGTAATTGTTTTAAATACCTTTTGACTTATGTAAACAAAAGGAAAATTCGCGAATTTCGAGAAAACGTTCAACTTCGTCTTATCATCAATAAAGATAAGCCTCGTAGTGCGGAAAGTATTATACGTGCACAAATATTTTAAGTAGCATTTGTAGGAAGAGGCCATCCGGAAAATTTATGAATGCAGCGGGGTCGTCTTAAAGCATGAATTCCGCGTCGAGCCGCTTAAATTGCAGCGTTTTCCATAAAACATCCCCGAAATAATTCGCGGGGAACGTGCCGCCGCACGGCGAGCAGAGGGCGCCACCATCCGACTCGCGGCTGGCGAAGAATAATAAATTAATATGCAAACAGCGTGCACAGCTGGATAAACCTAATGCTCCAGTTTTAATTTTAACCTTAACATATGTCAGCTGTTTCGGTCATATACTTTTGGGAATTTTCGCATTCGGAGCGTTTTCATGACAGCCGGAATGCGAACGCTCTGAAATCATCCGGTTGCGCTATATAGTGTCATCACCTTAATGCGCTCTGTATACGCTGTACACATACCCGAAATTACTGTCAACATTGTTTCATCTCGCCTCGGATGCATTTTCGTTTGAATCCGAATCCTCGAAAACTCATTAACAATGCTTAGTGTCTATAAAACAAATCCCCATCTTCTTCCATCTATCTCGTCTACAAATAATTTTGCGCTGTCTAAATGCGCCTTTAGCTTCATATATAAAGCTGGGTTTAGACTGCGCGATTTGTATAGAACCGCAGCTTAACGATAAATTTTTTTTTTTTCAAATGAAGATCCCCACTTTATAGGAGGGTCGAATTGAATATAGAGCCGATAATCGAAGCCTATTCCGCGGCAAACAAAAGAAATCACCTGTTGAAAAGCATCAGATAATGAATATTAACAATCCCTCCAGATAAGGGGAATGTTCGCATTCGAACGCGGAGCCAAATACAAAATCGATGCTCATCTGAAAACAAAGGCCTACACAAGACGGTATCCAAGGAAACATAGCTGGAAGCATACGAAAATGAAACTATATTCGAATTCCTTGTATGATGGTTCGGCCTTGTTAACATGCGAATTCGTCTGCAGGGAATAAAATTTACATAGGCCTGCTGGCGACCATCTACCGAGATCTATAGTCAAAACAGAAATGTTTTATCTGCGAAAAGGATTTTTTCCATGCGATACGCGTTCCGCGCCCTTCGGCTAAATAAAGTTAGTTTTATCTAATATTCAATTTTGCTATGCGCTTTTTAACAAAACTTCCTGGTTAATTAATTGTTGGCTTTTAATTTAAACTTTTTGAACTGAAGGTCTCATTAAAGTTTGTTTTACGCTAATTTTATTTAATGGTATGCCTTACTTTCGTTGGACGGTAGATAAATTATTAATTATACGTACGCGCTAATTGAATTATCAATGAAATTAGTAAATACTTTGCTTTTGATTTCGTTAGGAACCATTTGTTTGCAGTTGGGCTTAAAACAAACAGCCAGAATAACCCAAATATATGTATGTACGTACGTATGTATACGTTCAAAATGTATAAATAACAATGTACGCTATAAAACGTAATTGAGCATGATTTTACAAAAAGCAAACTATACACTGTACGGCCGAAACGGACCGCTGCAATTCACCATTGTTATTCTGTTACATCGAATTCGATTTCCTAAATTGTATTATACAAAATTATGGCTATATTCATTGTCGACGACCTAAATAATTCATAACGTTTGTGCCGGGTGACTGGAGACTTTTTATTATCAACTCCGATGCTTGTTTATTGAATTTTATCACAATTAAAATAAAATTTTAAATGAATTAATTTATTGTTAATTAACAGGTGATGTGATTATTTATCGCGCTGTTCGAATATTAGTACTACGTAAATGCAACAAAGTCAGTGGTTTAACAGACTCCCTCTCTAAACAGCTTGATCTCATTTGCATACAATTTGAATATTACCTACATTACATGGACCGAGTACCTACCTTCTGGTAATTCAATCATGTGAAATGCACAGATATTCAGACTTTATCCAGTCTACTGTAAATTTTCGGGGAATTGAGGAACTACAGTACATTTAACCAAGTACACAACATTGCACTATTAACGAGAAATTCTGCCAACATTAAAATACTAGGTGTGAATTGTGAGCGTAATTTTCCCGGATTCTAGAGAGTTGTTATTAGGCGTATTAGGCATATTATTGGGAGAGTAAAAGAAAATGTATATTATTTAAACTATTTACTGTGCCCATTAGTGTTTGAATTAAATTGTAAATAATTACATTTGCCAACTGACACGCATTCTTTTATGTGTATGCATCTTGAGGAATAACGGTTATTTGTGCTAGAAAAAGCCATCGCCATCATCAGAAATTGTGAGGTTTTTAATAATAAACGTCTCTTCGACGATGCCATTACCTACGCAACCGCAGCGAGGAAAATATTTTCTACTTTCTCCGGACGACATTACGAGTATACCCGCGACGAGAAATTGCGATAAGGAAGATTAATATTCGGCGGTATTTAATACGGGTTTTTACCTAAGTAATTAAAATAAGCAAGTGTCCCGAGATTTTAGCGAAGGTAATCTAATTTCAAAGGAAAGGAGCGGCCAAAGAGGAAGCCCGAAAGGGCGCACGTGTTTCGCATTCAATGCGACGTGTGGGCGTTGCAATAAAGAAAATGGAGAATTTTTCGGGTTGGTCGACATATTACAAAGAATTAAATATGGGATTGGAGAAAATAAATTAAGACACGAATCTATTAACAAATTCCAGAAACGAGCTAACTTTACCAAACGATGCATTAAATAATTTATTCCACCAAGCATTAATAACGATCAAAACACAAGTTTCTCTCTTTAGCTATGAGCAAAGTTTGTTCGATACAATCACCACCTACTGCTACCTATTCGAGTTAATGCTTCCGTCTAATTTGTAAAATTTACAACTCCGGGGAACCGAATAAGAGAACAATTATTTAGCAACTAGTTTAGCAAACGTGCCGTCGTTACTGAAAAGTGCAACTAACTTCAAATTTTACAGCAAACCTATTTCTAACTCGACTGGTCAGCGTTCATCTAAAATAACCGCTAATTGGGTGAAGAAATGCGAAAAAAATGTCTGTAGTTATAACTGAAGTTGTCGGTAGAGATTGCGCATGTTGCGTCTACAGATATTCTTATGGCACTATAAGCACCTACCCAAAAATTGTACAGATTTTATCTTAAAGTAACTTTCATTTTAATAAAAAAATCGTGAAAAATCTTTTTCCTAGCTAATTTCGATGCAAATTTTTAATGCTCGGCACACCAGACAATGCCATAATAATTGAGCATTGTTCGCGTTGTTTATGTTACTTTTTATTTAGAAATCGTCCATTGTGCTGTCACGACAACCGCGAAGACTTCGTCTAAATTATTAGCACGACTAACGTACCGTCGATAACCGTGTCGTACTCGCATGTACTTACTTACCAGACATCTGTTCGATGTCATCTTTCGGTTTTGTGCAGATAATCGCTGAGTAACTTGCGTTGCATTCGAGCGAACATCATGGTGTTCGGTGATTTTTTGCTAGTTTTGTGAAAAAACTCCATTGAAACAATGTAAGTGCTGAGTATTAGTAGTAGGTAGGTAATTGAATCGATGGAATGTTGTTTCAGGTTTTTGGGTAGAATTTTTGTGGTAATCACCGGTTTAAATATCTTGGCGGCTGAGACGAGGATGTGCAAATGTTGGAATGGTTACAGGGTGGATTTCAGCAGTAGTGGGCCCCAATGTGTGGCGATAGGTCAGTTCCACATAATGCCCTGTAACATGGTGAGATCGCCGAAATGTAAATGTTCCGGCATCGTGAGCAACATTTTAAAAGATCGAACTGGTATGTATTGAATTATTGATTCATTCACTTCGAACAATTTGAATTATTTATAAGTATTAATTAGTTTACTTATTAGTGTAAATTTTTAGGTACTTGGTGCACTCGGTACAACCGAGGAAAAGAATTGATGAGATGGCCTTGCGAAAATATGGAAGAATGGGACGAATTTTTCAGAAAGCATCCAGATTTTATATAAGCAAAATACATTTTAAAATTTCAATTATTAAAAATTTAGAATCGTGTTAGATAAATAGGTTATTTATATATTTTTAAAATCTTTTGATTTTGTTTTGTAGAAAATTTATAGAAAAATGTATTACTTGACTCAAAATAAAAGATTAGGTATGTTTACGAATTCACCGAAAAATATTTTTGTTATACATGCAAAATTCATAATTAATGTTATCGATAATAGCCTTTAGAAAGGTTATTATTAATCGTTCTTTTATTTTATAATTCTTAAAATAACATTTCATAATAATAGTACAGGGAATAACTGTTTTGAAAAAAAAAATGTAATTAAAATTTGTCGATTTACACGAAAAATATAGTTTAAAAATTTTCACTTCCTATATGAGGAAAACCTTATTATTATTATTAAACAATAAAACATTTTATTTTAAAGATTATATCATCATATTTCAGCAACGTTTTTTTATGTTAAGTTCAGTCCAAGACTATAATAAATTAAACAAATAATAAGAAATAAAACAAATCAATATATAAATATTCCAAAGCAAGTTAACCGTACTGTTGTATTTTCCACTATTAGATAACATGTAAGTAATATGTATAGATTTATAAAATTTATTTTATAAAATATACTTTATGATTATTATACTATATAAATTTTATAGGAAACTTCTCGTAATATTCTCTGTGGTTTTCCTCATTCCGTTGGTTTTCGCTGCAAAAACCAAGAGAGAATGTGTATGCTTCGAAGAATTCGAACCAGAAGAAGAAGACGGCGAAGCTCTTTGTAGAGGCGTGAAACATTACAGAATTTTCGAGTGTGGCGAGGAAAAACCTCCAAGGTGCGAATGCCACAAAAACGGAAAATCCTTCATTATGGATATAGGTGAAACGAACTGTCCTGGTACCGGAGATCACTTAAATTGCTTACCGACCAATGTATGGATTCAATATTACAGGAGACATCCTTCTCGCAGAAGGTACAACTAAATTATTCAATTTGTAAGATTAAAAAGTAGTTATTTGAAATTGAAATTGTTTTTTTTTGATAATAGAAGAAAGAATCTTTTTGATCCGTTTTTTTTCACGAAATGATTATGAAGTCATGTTGCAAAGAAAAACTATTTTAAAAAATTTCATTTCGAGTGAACCGCTACGAACGTATTCCATTGTTCTCCCGAGGCAAATGTTTTTCCAACTTGTCCAAATTATCAACAAGCTACCTCGGTGAACAATCAGCATATACTTATATTTACTATAGGCAATATAATTTTACGTGAGAAAGAACTAACGTGGAAAAGAATTGATGAGATGGCCTTGCGAAAATATGGACGAATTCTTCAGAAAGCATCTAGATTTTATGTAAGCAAAATACATTTTAAAATTTCAATTATTGAAAATTTAGAATTGATTTAGATAAATAAGTTATTTAGGTAATATTTATTTTTAAAATCTTTTGATTTTGTTTTGTAGAAAATTTATAGAAAAATGTAATACTTGACCCAAAATAAAAGATTAGGTATGTTTATGAATTCACCGAAAAATATTTTTGTTATACATGCAAAACTCATAATTAATGTTATCGATAATAGCCTTTGGAAAGGTTAATATTAATCGTTCTTTTATTTTATAATTCTTAAAATAACATTTCATAATAATAGTACAGGAAATAACTGTTTTGAAAAAAAAATATAATTGAAAATTGTCGATTTACACGAAAAATATAGTTTAAAAATCTTCACTTCCTATATGAGGAAAACCTTATTATTATTATTATTAAACAATAAAACATTTTATTTTAAAGATTATATTATCATATTTCAGCAAAGTTTTTTTATGTTAAGTTCAGTCCAAGACTATAATAAATTAAACAAATAATAATAAATAAAACAAATTAATATATAAATGTTCCAGAGCAAGTTAACCGCACTCTTCTAGTTTACACCTATTAGATAACATGTAAGTATAACATATGTATAGATTTATATTTTATAAAATATACTTTATGATTATTATACTATATAAATTTTGTAGGAAACTTCTTCTAATATTCTCTGTGGTTTTTGTCATTCCGTTGGTTTTCGCTGCAAAAACCAGGAAAGAATGTGTATGCTTCGAAGAATTCGAACCTGAAGAAGAAAACGGCCAGCCGCTTTGTAGAGGCGTGAAAAATTTCAGAATTTTCGAGTGTGGCGAAGAAAAACCTCCAAGGTGCGAATGTCACAAAAACGGAAGAACCACCATTATGGATATAGGTGAAACAACCTGTGCTGGTAAAGGAGATCACATTAATTGCACACCGACCAATGTATGGAATGAATACTACAGGAAGCACCCTTTTCGCAGAAGGTACAACTAAATTATTTGAACAATTTGAATGATTAAAAAGTAGTTACTTGGAATTGAAATTGTTTTTTTTTTGATAATGGAAGAGAGAATCTTTTTAATCCGTTTTTTTCACGAGATGATTATGAAGTCATATTGCGAAGAAAAACTATTTGAAAAAATTTCATTTCGAGTGAACCGCTACGAACGTATTCCATTGTTCTCCCGAGGCAAATGTTTTTCCAACTTTTCCAAATTATCAACAAGCTACCTCGGTGAACAATCAGCATATACTTATACTAAGGCAATATAATTTTACGTGAGAAAGAACTCGCAAAGAAAAATTTGATAAACAAGCTGTACCGGGCGAACAAATCCGTTTCTTCGTTATATATATAGTACGTATATACAAGAAAATTTCCCGCCCTCGTCCGACCTCTTGGCCTCCATCGCACCCGGAGTTCCTTAGTTAACTCGCAGAAACTTTCGTATATATCTCGCATTCCGAAAATGAATCTCCCGCAGGGCGCCCGACCATTATTGAATTATGAATTATTGTACGGGTCACACCCTCGCAGAGAACCTCCTTTTCTACAAGGCTGGAATTCTGAATATAACTTCTTTCGGCGTCGCCATAAATTGACTTGACAGTTACAGAGGTTCAGTGGGATTTCGGATGTAAATTGGATCGGTTTTGTACGGGTTAACGGTTTTTTAGATTGTACGCGGGTCAATTCAACCGGAGAGAAAAGTTGTCAATTACCTACTAATAAAATTTTTACGAAAAACTGCATAAATTGAAATCAGCGGAGCAGCAATAACGCGATTAAAACACGGAAAAACAATTAAAATTCTATCTAGTTCGTCGGGGAATGCAATGAGGTCCACGTTGACGTACGTACCTAACCGTAATAATTAATTTAATAGTCGTCCGCATTAGCGGAGGGGTAGAAACCGTTCCATTATTAACGTAATTTTCATTATTAGTTACAGTCGGATGCACCCCAAATCGTGGAACTCTTGTTGAACATTCGCCCAGTTTACATTTCCGCGATTTTAAAATCATCCTAATTGATTTTCTGCTACCCCTCCATGGCAACACGCGATGTTGCGACGAATTTCCCGTTGTTATTTACTTTAATTTGATTTTTTTTCTTCACTCGACTTTATCCGACCTATTATCATTACTTTAAATTGAATTTGTTCGAATTATAGACATTTTCGACTAATTTTTCCTCAATATTTTTATTGCTTTTTTTATCGAAAAGTAGAAATTAATTATTGCAAGATTGCAGTATTTCTTTGTAGTATATCAAATTATATGAAAATGTTGGATTTTAGATTACTCTTGCAGAAAAAAATCCTAGATGTTTTAGGGTTAATAGAAAAAGCGTTATACATTTAAAGGGAACCTTCGGCTCCGATAGAAAAGACTTAACCATTCTTTGGGGAATTTTTCAATTACGAAAGAATAAGGGATATTGTTATTTTGGGAATTCCACCCGGGTTGTCGCGGGATGTCCTTGGGGAGTTTGCGGTCTTTTTTATATAGAAAAAAAGAAGGACGGACAATTCTTGCGACAACATCGAAGAGCGGTGTTTTGATTGCAAAAGAAAATATCCCCTCAGAAATCGAAATCACCGTTAAAATTCGCCTTAATTTTTTTTAAATTCATCAAAACATATTTACAAAAAATGTTACAAGTATAAAATCGAAAATTACAGAGAGTACAGAGAGTAGAGATTAAGAGTAGAAAGACTGCAAAATATTGGTGCAGATTTCAATTTCAGTATCGGTTTAAAATTCAGGTAAATTCGGTGCGAAGTTCCGGTGCACCCAAATGAAAAACATGAGATTTTTTTTTCGTTAAAATACATTTGTAGATTTAAGACTATCCAATATAAAATCTTCTACTTAAGCGTACCTCTACATAGTTTTTGTGCCTATTTCGTTGGATCCTAATGAATCCGTTTCGTACGTTTTAACGTTTTAAATTTGATTAGTCCCCAGACAAAACAATATAGGAAGTCGTAATTCTCGAGCTTCGTCTCAGGTCGAGGACTTCTTTAATCGCGGACACTAATCTTCGAGAGTGACAAACGGCTCTATGGGAGCTTACAAATTGCCTGTTACTTTCAAGAATTGCCTTTTTTAATCAATACCATTACTCAGGTAAATAAACGAAAAATCAGTCACGATGTATATAACGTTTGTAACATTATTCTATGTGTTTAAGTTTAAGGTCAATAAAGAAGAGAAAATACTAGAATTTTGCGGTAAAAATCTACAAAGGAACTAGAGTTGATGTTTTAATATAATATTAAAATCCTGAAAGTAATAGTATAGCGGTTCAGACTTAAACCTCTGAATATTTTATAGTGTACCTGGCTGGTTGTTACGAGTCCGTAAATACGGCAAAACGCTCATAGACAGTGCCCACTTACAGCACAATAAGTCCATCTCGTCCATTTAAAACCATCAGAGCCTCTATATATATTTTCCCCGTTTCGAAAAGGCTTTTCAGTCCGGCGTCGGGGATTTCGTTCGGAATTTATTTCAATAATGCAAAATGCGAAATTCGCAGAAACGAGATTTGCACTCATAGAAAATGCGTTTGGTCTGACGAGTTGTATTAACTAAATTCCCGGTCTTTATTCCGCGACAGGCTCTTAGGGTATATTCGAGAGAATTACCATTTTTCCATCGAATGGAGAAAATTTATGTTGTGCTAAAGTTGAATATCAATAACACACAGAGCCCCGGATAACGCATCCTGTCATTTAATGATCTCGTATATCCTATAGTCCCTTTTATTCTATTGTTAGATCTTTACTAATTCAGCCATTCAAATAAAATTATGGCCACTGTTATGGTGGTTTTTCGGTTTATGACAAATGTATCGTGACAAACATATATTTACTAACCTAAATTTATATTTTATACAAGAGGCTTCTCTAGTTATTACGAGTTTAGGGTAGTCTTAAGTCAAGTTAAAGTGTAGTAGATGGTATTATAGCCGAAAACAATAATTTATTCATCACGCTTGACCAACAATTAGGGAAAATTTATACAGTAAAAGCACATAAAAACGGGAAGATGGCGCAACAAACTATTTAAATATTAACAAAGGCACGTCTTGAGGTTGGAAAACTTTTACCGGTCTACGCGGGCTTTCAACGCCCATAATGGGGAGAGCTTCGTATAAAGTTTTCGTGTTACTTTTAATACAAAAGGATATTTAGGTCATTGGAGGGAACACCGTGAACGGGAAGAGATTATAAGATTATGGCTATGGTAATCATTATGTTGCTCGAAAGTGGTATGGAGATTATTATCGTCGAAGTTTACTTTGTACGGGAGAGTGCCGGAAATTTCCGCTGAAATTGATTTCAATCGGTTTCGAGGGATGCGTGCCATGAATGCTGTTGTTGTCGGAATTCTCTTCGACAATAATTACCGTTGTAAAGTACTTAAAACGCGGAATTTATCGATGAAATAAATATTTCGAAATAACTCCTCTTGATCTACGTAAAACGCTTTTACATACCGAAATTACCACTCTTTTGTAGCGAGCTTTACGAAGACGATTTCTCTCACAATATGGAGAAAACTAATCCCGTTGAACGACAAAAGAATGATTTACCCTTGAACGACGGCTTTGACACAAGTTACCTCCCCTTCCACGCCTGCGACTCGATACTCCGGGACCTCGTTCCTTTATTTCAGCAATATTATCTTGTTTTGGTAAATAGGCTTTGAAACGATAAGATCTCCCGGATGATTCAGTAGAACAGAGAGAAAGTAGGGGAAAAGACGGAGAAAGATAACAAAGGTTAACTATATTGTCTCCCTTGTGGGGATATCACGACCATATAGAAACGTTATCTGGTAACTAGCACACTAACCCAAAACAAATTAATTTGCGGAAGAGATATTGTACAAGTTATTGGAGGTAATGCAAAACTTTCCTTCTAGCTGTCACAACAAACGATTTATTCAAATAATGAGACCAATTATGCTCCACTATGTGTATAGAGGGAAACTCGATCTCTTAATCAAAAACTACTCAACTTAGTCCATTCATTTTCGATGATATCTAATGTAATATGAGTATATGTGTAGTATCATACTATGTAGTATTTACTTAGTATGTAGGTATACAATATTTTCAAATATTTTTTCTACATAAACAGTGTTTCTTTATCTACTGTATAGTTATCTGACTGGAGCTTCTTCTTTGTGTACTTCTTGAAGAAAACTGAGGTATTGGACCTATATGTAGGTAGGTATAAGAAAAAATAAATACCTATAAATAAAGCCAAATTTGATTCGACTAAAAAATAATTTATTGTAGAGTTAGTAAAATGGCGAGTTCGCAATACACAGGCCAGATTAAAAATTCCATTAACATCAAATCAGCAAATTTACATCAAACAGCCTTTGGGTTAATTAACATCGATCAAATGAACGAACGTTATTTGGGGAAAAATAATTACGTTAAATGACAAAAACGAGGCTTTGTTTCGACACTTTTCAACGTTCGATGAAAAAATACATTTTCATATTACGTTTTCCCGATAATACGCTCGATTTATACGGTAAACAAGATTGAAAAGCGGCTTTTTTTTCGAATACCTCTCAGTCTGCGAATCTTAACGCTGAACTGGGAATTCAATTCTTGCACTATGAGGATGAAAATTGAATTCCAGCATTTCGTAGATCTATGTACATATATGATGCTGCTACAACGAAGGCTTGAGTAAACATCTTGCAGAATAGCAAATCATGTAAGATTATACCGAAAATCGCTCAACTGCAACATTTCCAAAAGTTCAAATACATTTATCAGAATATTAGACGTTCAAAAGTAGCTTAACTAGTAGCGAGAGAAAATCGTCATGATTTCGCAAATAAATCCCTAATAGGCTTCCTCTCGTTCCCCGAACGCCATTAAATCTCTCCCGGTCCGATAGAGGAAACGTTTTTAATTCAAAATAGAATGGACTTAGTACGAAGTGAAAACAAGTC